GGATCAGCTTGTATAGGTTTGTTTTGCTTCGGAGTGATTGGGAATCCGTGTGATCCCATCCTCGATGGTTTATGCCTCGTTGATTTCCAAGGAAATCATACGAGTGTGTTTTTGCCCAATACGCTATTTAAAGTGAGTGTGCAGTGTGTAGGAACTTCGTTCTGAAGCTGAGTTTAAGCTCACAAGAGAGAATTCGTTTAGTTTGTGCACTTCGTGACTTTTGGCTCAAGTGGCTCAAGTGGCTCAAGTGGCTCTGACTGTGAAAAAGAGAGAGTTGTCCGCACTTGTGTGAGAGGTCAGGGTTCGTGCTTTCAAGGGAAAAGGTACCAGAGGGACCTTCGGTTTTTCACGCGACACTCCTCAAACTTAGATCCTCGATTCTCTCAGCTGTGTTGTGGCGCGGTGTGGGCGTTTCTGTCTATGAGAGAGGCACCAAAAAGACCTCGCCATTGCAAACTGACCGGCCAGGGACGAAGTCTGTAGCGACGTCTGGGGGCACTGCTAATCTCCGGAAGAGATCAGGTTGCCCAGGCCAGACACCTCCTTTGGCCTCGTGGTCATTCCACACTTACTGGAGATCGATGAGAAACTCTCCGATAACCGCGACACATGACTGAACAAATCGCGGCTAAGATGATTGCTTGTGGACAGGTGCGCACAGTCTGCCTTGGAGCGATCTGCGCAGCAAGACGCATGCTAACCAACCTGGTAGTAGTTTTCAGTGGAGTCAACTTACAGGGCCCGCTGCGCAACACCTTAAAGTTCCCATGGGTTCCCTGGTGTGCGTATCTCCACTCCTGCATCCGGGTGCCCTTCACTAGCTTTGTGCAACAGCGTAATACGTTTATGCGTGCACATAGAGATATGAACAACGCCGCACAACGTGTCAATGCTGTGTTACCCTGCTCGGCCTTTACAGGCGGAGGAGTCTGGGCAACTGCTTTGCACTCTCTGCATTACCTACATTCACCTGCACCACATGTACCACCTGCCACAAATCTTGACAGTAAGTGAAAGGCTAGTGTGCCATCTTCAGCCACTTTAGACCGTTAGGTGTGCCCTAACTGCATTCACCATGCCGTGTGTCCTGCACATACTACGTAACGATTCAACTCTTGGCCCAGACGCTGCGTCCGATACTGTTTGCCCACTGCCCGGCAATTCATGCTGAAGCAGTTTTTGTCTGTTCCACTGTGCACCAATCTCTTGACTGGTTGAGTAGGACGCAAGTTTGCAGCTATTCGTAGCGGGACTTGCCCATTATGGTTCTAGTGCTCATGAAGCACCGGTGCAAAGCACTGCCATGTACCTGATGCCAAGCAGTGACCGGCTGCGATTGGAATGAATAGTAGTAGTAGTAGTAGTAGTAGTAGTAGTAGTAGTAGTAGTAGTAGTAGTAGTAGTAGTAGTAGTAGTAGTAGTAGTAGTAGTAGTAGTTGTAGTAGGAGTAGGAGTAGTAGTAGTAGTAGTAGTAGTAGTAGTAGTAGTAGTAGTAGTAGTAGTAGCAGTCGTAGTAGTAGTAGTAGTAGTAGTAGTAGTAGTAGTAGTAGTAGTAGTAGTAGTAGTAGTAGTAGTAGTAGTAGTAGTAGTAGTAGTAGTAGTAGTAGTAGTAGTAGTAGTAGTAGTAGTAGTAGTAGTAGTAGTAGTAGTAGTAGTAGTAGTAGTAGTAGTAGTAGTAGTAGTAGTAGTAGTAGTAGTAGTAGTAGTAGTAGTAGTAGTAGTAGTAGTAGTAAGTAGTAGTAAGTAGTAGTAGTTAGTAGTAGTAAGCAATAGTAGTTAGTAGTAGTAAGCAATAGTAGTTAGTAGTAGTAGTAGTAGTAGTAGTAGTAGTAGTAGTAGTAGTAGTAGTAGTAGTAGTAGTAGTAGTAGTAGTAGTAGTAGTAGTAGTAGCAGTAGTAGTAGTAGTAGTAGTAGTAGTAGTAGTAGTAGTAGTACTAGTAGTCGTCGTCGTCGTCGTCGTAGTCGTAGAAGTAGCAGTAGCAGTAGCAGTTGCAGTAGCAGTAGCAGTAGTCGTAGTAGTAGCAGTAGCAGTAGCAGTTGCAGTAGAAGTAGCAGTAGCAGTAGCAGTAGTAGTTGCTTATATTGTTGAAATATTTTTTGAGTGCAAAACTGTTCTTGATTTGGGTTGCGTTCTTTTTGTATTTGTTCCTGACCTTTTTTCTGGCTCTTTCTTTGTCTCTGATTTTGCTTTTGTGTGTTTTCCGAATATTTGTTGTTCTAAAGTGTTGTGAATCGTTTGATCCTTGCGGCTTCTGTATATTTGTGAATCGTTTGACGCTTGAATTCTAGAGACCGGAGGCTTTGGTTTACTTTGTTATACTGCAGCTGAGACGTCGAGTTTCATGGATTTTGCAACTGATGGATTCTGCAACTGTAAGGTCTCTGTTCTGCTTCTTTGCACAATTTTTTCTCGGAGGCTACAGACATAGCGGGAGAGTGATGGCACCCCCATTTTGCCGTTAGGCAAAAAATCCAAGTATACTGCGCCGTGGTCAAGAAGCCATCCAATTATGGACTCCTGCAAGTTCTCCAAAGAAAGCTGTGGCGCATTGCAATGGAGTTATAGATCTGCAGATACGACGCCGGGAAGGTGTCCGGGAGGTAAAGCAGTTGGTTTGCCACCTCCAAGAGGCGTTCCGGGTCAAAAAGAGGCTTAGGCAGTTGCTGCAACAACTGCTCATAAGCACGGTATACTTATAACTGCTGTTCATGAGTTGTTAAGTGGGAGGAATCCTTTAAATATGGCGTCGGCTTGACAGTGCGTCCAGGTGGCAATCCCTCATCTAACGCTCGCCACAGCAAGGCGCTGGCAGATTTTTAAGACCGCTCCCCCTCTTTCTCGTGTGTGTTGCTCTTGGGCTTGGCTTGAGGTGGGATTGGACCTGGAGCGTTTTGGCTTTTGGGGGTGGGGGGGGGAGTCAAAACCTTCCTAAGGCATGTTTTTGGCTTGGTCATCCGGCTAGGCGGATAAGACCGTGACCCAGGCGTGGAGCTCCGGGGCTTGGCCTCAGCCCGTACTTCTCCAGTTACGGAGGAACACCTTGTGGGGGGCGAGGGCTGGAGTGAGGGGGCTTAGGGGTTGGGGCAACGGTTGGGGTTTGGAGGTTCGACTGTTGTCGTTTTCACTTGCCATGGCGAAAGCACGCACGAATTCTGACCTCTTTGGGTTTGGCTGGCCACGAGGACTTATGGGTTGCTGAGAGTTTCCCTCGCAGCATCTGTTCGAAGCTAGCAGGTGCGATTCTGCGAGCTCATCTCCGACTGGGGTTTACAATCAGATGCCAGTCCTAGGATCGGTGTGACGTGTCGGATGTGAAGTTTTTCGGCTCCCTCCCGCCCATCCCGGAGTGGAGTACATGCGCTGCGGCACAGTGTCCGTGTGCCGCTTGACATCCAAACTCATCTTTGAGCGCTGCTGGTGCGAAAACAGGTCGATTGCCACGAGATACAGGAGAGCGTTGCATCATGAACTGCTTGTACAGATCAGTGACTGCGAATCAGCAGCCAGGAACGAACACTGCTGCATCGAGCAGCTCCCAATTTCCTGAGCCAGTGCCTAAGCGGCGCCCAGCGCCTGTGCCACCGCCTGGAGAAGACAACATCAATCAAATCCGTGATCGCCTCCATGCCTGGATGCATTGCGCATGATGCACCCAACACTGGAATCGCACCGAAGCGCCAGCCAAGGCGCCGCAGAACTGCAGCAGCTGATGTGCGCGATGAAACTCATGTGTACATGTGCAATTCTTGTGCCCGTCACTTGATAACGCCCTAACTGCCAATCAGTATCGAACGACTTGTTTTGCTATGCTTGGTAATGCTCATGATGCCCTTTGACTTTGCCAGGTCCAGCTTTCTTGTCATGTTCCACTTTGGAACCAATCCTTGTCGTGTCGCACTTCGAATGTGTTACTCCGAATGCCTTGAGTTGAATAGCTTCTCATCTCTCGTGCGATGGCAGCAGCTAGGCCATCATAATCCTTTACTACGAGCCTCAATGGCTAAGTGACGGCAACTCCTTGTCCGAACTTTTGGGAGCTCTAGTGAACTAAGTGTGTGATGTTTGGTGATGAAAGGGGAGAGGCGATCCTAAGTGACAAAAGCCCAAAGCCTTCTGTTTGCACTTTTGTAGGCGGGGTATTTAGGATTTCGCCTACCTGAAACTCCCCACTGTTTGGGGGGCGCTTTGTTGCAGCCACTCCCCACTTCATATATGTGATTTTGTCGTCATTGCTTTACTGTATTTTCATGCTCCCAGTTTTCACTCACATGTCAATCAGTCATGTGCTTTGACTTGAGATTGCATCCGCACCGCAGGCGTCTCTTGTGTCTGAAAATCTTCGCAGGCAGAGTGTGGAAAACAAGGGTGTGATCGTTTGCAGAGTGTTCAAGTGAGGGAACGCTAAACGTTGGATCCTGTGGGATTTCCTGCCTCACGCACACGGAGTCTTTCAACACGCAGGTGCATGGGATGTTGCGAATTTGCTGCCAGGGCCCCCTGAGGTTATGGGAAGGTGATTGGGAAGGTGATTGGGAGATCGATCGTTCGACCGTTAAAGTCCTTTCCATCCCTTTGACAGCTCGAACCCCTATGCCTTAATGCAGGGCTGTGCCATGATACTTGCTACGAGCTTTCCTTGATCACACACACTGCATGCCGCATTGCGTGCATCGGGCCGAAACAGGTGGCATCCGGCTGAAGTCACAAATATTTTATCCAACAGCATGTGGAGCTTGAACAATGAGATGTTGGTAAGTTACACATGTGTGCTCAGTTAGAACTGCTGTAACGTGCAGCATGCGGAGTTCCGACGGGGTCCTTGCGAGGGTAGGGGTAGGATTCTTGCTTTGAGCTTAACCCTAAAGCCTAAACTGTAAACCCTTGTCAAAACCCTGCAGCAGGCAAGCGTGGGAGGGTGTAGTATTCATGCCAAGCAAGTTTGTACATGGTTGGAGAGGAGAAGCAGAGGCAGCCAACGGGACATTCATGCCGTGTAGCCATGGATGAACCGACCGCAAGTACTGCCAACGATGCTGGTGATGAGGGCGACAAGGCTTGTCTGCAGGGTGGCCTTGTTTTTGCGAAGGATCTGTGCCAATGTTGCTTTGAGTCGTGTGGTTGCAGCAGTTTCTGTCAGGCAAGGTTGATGCAAGAAGTGCAACGCTTGAAGGCCGATACACCCGTGTTGGCACAATGTCGCCATCATCAGCCATGGTGTCAGGGCTATCTACAAGATGCAAGCACGGCGAAAGAGACCGTATGTATACCCAGAGATGCTTACATCTTTTTGAGGTTTGCGCGCTTTTGAGTCGACACGAGTCGACACCCCTTTGTCGTGCGGTTGTTCAGGTCATTTCGACGTTAGACCAACTCCAAAAGCTTGGAAGAGCCTCAGATGCAGGAACCATATAGGCTCATGGAGAGCATATCACACAAGCATAAAGACGAGAGGCTTCTCCTCAATTGGGCTGCTAGTGCCTTGCCTAAGGCTTGTCCATAAGAGTCTTGGGAGAAACCATGGTGGGCATGGCGCCCAGGGACGAGACAGTGAATGGCATTATTAGGTGGTCCATGTTGTGCGGTTACCAAATGTTTGCCCAGGCCGTGCTGTGCACGACGTAGGGCGGGATGCCGTAGATCCCGAGATTCGAAAGAGGGCCAGAAGCCTTGAAGCTTTTTGGAGGTTGGAATGCCAACTGTGTGGGCTGTGAAGGAGCGAATAGGTTCTAAAAACATCCTTGCATTGCAGGAACGAGTATAAGAAGCGAAAGTCAACGTCGGTTGGCGACGACTTGCTTGGCCCTGAGTGCAGCCTGTGCCACGCAATCTCCGTGACAGCTGTCGCCGGTCAAAGACATATGCAGGCTCTTAAAGCGTCGTCTCAGTTCCGACGTGTCGGAGGCAGGCAGTGTGTTCACAGTGTGTTCATTGTGTGTTCCTTTCCTGAAAAAAATACGGGGCCTCCGCGTCGCTCTCTGCTTGCAGGTGACGGCCACTCCTACATCTCAAGAGCTCGACTCTGCCAAAGATGCAGGTGGATGCCAAAGAAAGTTTTTACCGCAGTGCTACGTCTCAGCTGTTGCGAAGTTTGCGGAAGCTTACCGGTTAGGATCAGCGTTTGCTGGCTCTGAGTCGGGCGTTGCAGAGGCCCAGAAGTTGACGGATTTTTGGGCTTTGTGTTGGCGCTTTGCCCAAACAAAGCGTCCAACTGAGCCTCTCTGCAGGCACCTCGAGCACTGGATCGCGTTAGTCACTGAGTCACTCAGAAAGTTTGCGCCGTTTTCTGTTTACATCCAAGCCCAAGCCCCCTCTGCCGCATTGCGAGAGGCAAACTCCACTTTGTCTTCTTCATCCCAGGTTCAACTCTGTTGTTGGGCTCTTCGGGCTCTTCGGGCTTGTGCGGTCGAGGCGTGAACTGAATCTGCAGGTGGGAGACAAGAAGGACGATGCCTACAGGGAGAAGGTCGGCTTGTACCCATGAAATCAAGCCAAAGTTTCAAAGCTTGGATCTTTTTCGAGCCCTTGTCTTCACACATCTGTTCACGTGCACGTGCTCTCGCATCTGTCAGGTGCGGATGAAGCTAATCGAAGCTTTGGGTAAAGAAGAGGAGATCGAAGCCAAGGGCGGTGCCACAGACAGCATTTGGCCACCGTTTGCCACGGTGCTTTATAAAGTCTAAGAGTCGGAGAGCTCATCCTCGGCGTTTGCCAGGCGAGTCCCAGAAGACTTCGACGATGCGGGAGATCCAACAGTCTCGTTTCCATTCTTCTTTGCCATTCTTTGCTTTGTCCTTTTTGTGTCGGTAGGACCCTGTGAAGCTGGCAGAAGAGATCGAGGAGGTGGTGGCCGAGTAGAGCCAAGCCTGCTGAAGGCGTGTAAGTGGGTTCAGCGCTGTGCCCAGGAGCTCCATAAGGTGTGGCCCGCCAAGAAGGATGCCGCGGACTGAAGGAAAGAGGAGGAATTCGAAGGATTCTGAGTATATGCCATTTGTTTTGGGTGTTTTCCGCATCTTCTACATTGATGGATTTGAGAGCGTTTGAGGGCATTTTATTTTGGAAATTTGTGTTGCAAACGAAGTGCTTGATGCCTCCTTGACGCCTCAGAAGGCAATGAGGGCATAGCTGTCTTTGTGCACCGAGGGAGGACCCCGGTTAGTGTGACAGTGCCGAGCATGGCGCTGTGCTTTGGGATCTTCGGGGAAGAGCTCTTGCCAGTCGCAGCTGTCCTTTGAAGATGTCTGATGTCGGCTACGAGGTCGCAAGATAACTATGCCGCAAATCCAACACAGCCTTTTGGAGCTGCAAGTCTTCCATTGCTCTTCAAAAGTTTGTTGACATCGCTCATGTCGACTTCGCCAGCGGCTTCTGAAGTCGGCTAGCTCTTCATTGGAGCTCTCAGCTTTCTAAATCCACATTGTTAAACATCACCGATCTTGAAAGTGCAATCACTGTATTAACAGCTTGCTGGACTCAAGCGAACGGCGCCAACTCCGCACCAGTCCATGAAGTCCATGGGAGATTTGCAGGGGATCTGAACGGCCTTGAGAAGGCGATCCCTGGACTTGCCATTGCAGTGCGAAGTCTGTGGGGGTGCGGAAGGGCGTGCTTGCGTGCTTCGAAAAGATCTCCAGACTCTTTCCTGGTGGTAGTCGACATCGGCACGTGCTGCAGATGCCTACGGAGTTTTAAACAAAGCGTAAACGGTGTGTATTGTTATGGTATATATGTGTATGTAACACGCAAAGTCGCCTTGGCCTCGCGCAGTCTCTCGGACATTGTAGGTCACCGTGTCATTTAGACGATCCCTCTCATGACGGATGTTTTCAGGGCTTTGTACATTGCCCAGAGATCCACCACCAGGAAGTTCTTTGGCCACGATGCTTGAGGGCTCATATCACGGCTCGGGGAAAACCCAACGCTTCTCAGATAAGAGGGTGTTAACTGCTCTGACAGTCTGAGACATGCCTGATGCTATGAGGCCTACATGAACCAGGCCCGGTCCACCCCCTAGAGCGACCGCGACTGAAAGAGAGCGAAGGCGACATCTTGACAACCCAGGTCGATCCTCTTCAACCTCAAGGATGCCAAGAATCCCACTTTCAGGTGGGGGTTACGGAGAGCTTAGTCAGCTTAGTTCCAAATTCCAAAAACTTAACACATAAACATGTCTTAAACATGTCTGCTTGGTGAAGGTTCAAAGTGGTCGTGGGCTTCTTTCAGCCGAAAGACCTTCCGAAGCTGACTGCAGAGGATATGGCTCCCTTCTCAGACTTCTGGTGCTTTCTGAGAGTGTAGCATAAGAATCACAACGGCTTGCCCTTGTGGAGTAAGTCTTGAGAACGTACGCCGTGCCCCCAGCGACATTCAAGTGTAAACTTGGCCTAAGCAAAACCGATCACAACCTGCGCGGGAACAGTCCTGCTGCTTAGCACGTGAAGGTCCACACTTTGTAAAGAGAAGCCTGGAAGACACTGCACATTGTGTCTTACATGCTCAGCACATGGGCTTTAAGCTTGGAAGGTACGCCCCTCCCTGTAGCTGTTTGGGATTTGCTGCAGGTCGTCTCGGTTCAGGTTTGAGGCCTCGACTAGCACTGCAGGCGAGCGACGAGAAGAATGCCGAGCGAGCTAAGCAGAGGCCGGGAAAGCAGAACAGAAAAGCCGGAAGCGCCGGAAGCGGCGGAAGCGGCGGAAGCGGCGGAAACGGCGAAGCAGAGAACACGGAGCTAAGAGCGGAGCTAAGCAGCTAAGAGCGGAGCTCGGCCGCCGGACAGGCAGTACGCGATGGAGGCCTTGGACCAGGGCTGGGCCTTGAAGAACGGACAGCCGCTCGGCGCGCAAGAAAAACAGGCAACAAAGCAAAAACAGAGTTTTTAAGCTGTTTCATTTTTTTTGGAGCAGAGTTCTCTCAAGCAGCAGTGGAGTTCAAAGTTCAGAGAACAGAGCATAGATAATCTCAACTTTCTCAAAGCTCAAAGAAAGAAGAGAATAATCTACTTCAAGCATCGCTCTGCAGCCCAGGCAACTGACCACCGGCATGTTCACCTGTGGCAAGTGCAAGGTCGGATCGGTCTCTGCGATTCGTGCTGTACGCTTAGCAGCCTTAGCATGGAGACGTGGCGGAAGGGGGGCACGGCTTCAGTAGAAAAAGATTAGGAAGTCTAGTTCTTGGAAGTGGTGACGGTATCGTGCTATTGATTTGGTTGCTGCTGCTGCTGCTCAAATGCCTGCTGGCCGCCGGCCACTTCCGGGGTCGGGCCAGAACTTCGTGAACCGAAGGAGAGACCTGAGTCCGTCTCGGGGAAGCACCGTGTGGTCCCACTTTAAGGAGGCAAATTCCTTGGGAGCCTGCAGGAACTCCGTGGTACACTTTCTACGGCAATTCTCCAGCTCTGGAAGGCTTTAAGCATGTTGATGTATGTTGACGCTGTTGATTGATGCTGTTGATTGATGCTGTTGATTGATGCTGTTGATGTGTTGGGGGCTTCGAAGGCTGAAAGCCGAGCGCTCCATATGACATGCGAATGGGAGAAGTGGAATGGGAACGTGGCTGAATAGGTGAAAGTGCAGAAAGTGCAGGAAATTTGTGGGGGTTAAAGAGGGGAAAAGCGAGGAACAGTAAAGCCGAGGAATGCTTTGTTCAAAGCCCGCAGCCCCTGTGGCCCTACCTGAGCCTTGCTGGGCCCTTTAGGCAGGACCAGGGGCAAAGGACGATTTTCCGCAACTTTGGGGGGAGTGGTCTGAGTGGTCTGAGGACACAAGGTGTCGTATCCCAAGAAAGCACTTGTGTGACAGTGTGACGATTTGCGTGGCCATCAACTCGTAGCTGTATTTTGTGGACCGGCAGGGCAACAAGACAACATATTTCCAAATGCAGACAAGGTGCGATGCTGCCATGTGCTCGAACATGTTTGCATATGTTTGCATATGTTTGCATATGTTTGCATATGTTTGCATATTGCTTTGGTTTTCAGATCATCAGACGAGCCGATGACAACCTTTGTCACATGCAGCGCGCTGAGTTTCTGACAGTTTCTGACACCATGACATCTGATCGTTGAAGCTCTTGCGCTCCAGGTTTGACTTGTGGCAACCGCTGGAAATTCTGCTGAGGGAACTTGTTTGGGCCTAATGTGCTTGAGGAGATACCTCAGAACCTAGAGAAACTTCAGTGTACATAGAATCGCCACCGACGTTCAATCGCTGGCAGCCAGTGGCGAAAAGTGAGCTTGGATCAGTGACGGTCTCTGCGGCCTGGGGCCTGCTGACAACGAAAGTGACGGTGGTTCAACTGCAACATTAGTGGATGCTTTTGGGATCTTTACTCGCTTGTGATTTTTTTCTTGTTCTCGCTTGTTTCTCGCTTGTGACTTTTTGAAAAAAACTGCTTCTCACTTGTGACTTTTTTTGCGTACAGAGGTTCAAAACACTGCAAAACACAGCGTGTGTTGCTAGCAGCTGCGAGCACGTTCATCTTCATTTTGTTGTGTCCGTATTTCTGTTGTTCTCCCTGTGTCCGCTTTCCCGTTGGATGGTCGTGCCGGGCTTGCCGAGTCCGTTGTCTCCGCTCGTCTCCCTTAGTCTCCCTTCCTGTTGGGACGGGGGTGCCGGGTTTTCCATCACCAGCGTCTTCACTTGTCTCCCTTTTGTCCCCCTTCATGTTGGATAGGGTTTGATAGGGTCTTGACGTTGAGTGTGTCCAAACAATTTGGCGGACTCCTACCCCATGTTGTTGAGCAGCACGTGGAACCTATTATCAACCCACCCCACACCCCACTGTTGTCGAGAAGCACGTCCTGTTGTTGGAACACGCTGTTATCAAGCCCCCCCACCCCCCCGCACCCCACCACACCCCGCTGTTGGGGAGCACGTGGAACGCTATGATCAAGCCCCCCCCCACCCCACTGTTGTCCTTTCCATCCCCCTGTTGTTGAGCAGCACGTGGAACACGCTATTATCAACCCCCCCCCCCCCCCAAGACAGAGAAAGCCCCGAGACGCAGAGAGGAAGAGAGCAACAGAGAGAGAGGGGGTGTTTGGCTCAGAGGTGCGTCTTGGAGGGATTTGCTTAAGTAAATGACACAAGAACGGGTGTTTCTTTTACATTTCCCCCCTATAGCTTGAATGTCGGAATTTCCAGCGAGCAGGGGAAGCAGTCTTGTGCGCGTAGCTTCCCCCCCCCCCCCTCACTCCCCCACCCACTCCAACCACCCCAGGGGGTAGGGGGGGTGGGTCTGGGTTTGGGCTTTGAATTCCCGGGCCAGGACCAGCTGATGCTCATGATGCTCTGGGCTAGGGGGCGTCACCACATCCCGTGATGAAAACCCAGTTATAGGGGGAAATGAAAGAAAACAACCATGCCATGAGAGCGTTCCCATTCTTACTTAATCTCGGGTAGCCTTGAATTCGAATGGTGAGCACGCCCCTTTACCCCCCTAAATCCATGCCAAGTCAGCTGATCAGCGACACCCTAACCCAACAGACAGCCTCATTGCTGTCAGAACAATTCACCATTCGGTGCAATTGTGGCCATTCGAATCCCTGCGAATGCCACATGAATTCGAATGCCGCACACTAAGCGTGTTGCACTTAGTGTGCAGCATTCGAATTCATGGCATTCGCAGGGATTCGAATGGCCACAATTGCACCAGCAATGAGGCTCTCTGTTGGGTTAGGGTGTCGGTGATCGGCTGGACTTGGCATGGATTTAGGGGGTCCTGCAGGGCGTTCAAGGGGACTCTCTGTTCTTGTGCTTCAGCCCTAAACCCAGACCCACCCCCCCCTACCGCTGGGGTGGTTGGAGGGAATGGGGGGGCCCGGAAAGCCCCAAAATGGCTAGCGTGGCCCCTGCAGCAAGGATGACACGCACAAACCGAATGTGGCTCAAGATGAAACAGAGTCACAGGGTTGCCAGGGTTGAGGGCTTCGGCCTGACTCCCTTAGGGTTTCTGTTGAAGCCTACTCCTGTACATGTCATCCTGTAGCAGTTGTACCATGCATTTTTCCTTGTTGCTCGTAGGCCCAAGAATAGTCAGCCTTGTGCATGCACTTTTTCTCACTTGTACAATCATCAAGTAGGTGCCATACCCTGACGTTCGTTTCCTTGTTGCTTGCATGTAAAAAGCTCCGCCATCGTGTGTCCACTTCTGTCTTCTATGCCTGCTGGGTCACACCAGCAGGTTATGAGCCCAACGCTTGGGCCAATCCACCGCATCCATCTCCACCTCCCGGAGGGGATGGTTTCAATGCCACCACGTGAATCAGGCCAGTCAGGTGCAGTGGGCCTTGAACTTAATACGGCTACGGGAGGGCATTGGGAGGCACAGGCCAGCATGAATCATCGCGAGGTTCAGGGGAAGTGCCACCAATGTGAGGGTGGTGAGAGCGCACACCAAATTGTGCATGTGCCCGGCAACACACCGGGCGGGAGCCCAGGTCTGCAGACCAGCACTGGCATGCCAGGTACCGCGCCACTCGCTGGGGACTCCCATGTTGAGGGGTTCCTTACCCCACGCTCGCAGCAAGGACAGGGTGCCCACTATTTTGCAGAAATGGTTGAGGGTTTCCCTGGGGCTGGGCTCCAGCTCATGTCAAGGGTTGGGGATTTTTCAGAGTTGCCCGCGCTGAGGTCATGCAGGTCCCGGTGTGGCAGGACTCACACGCAACGCCGCCACGAAGTGCTACCCGTTGACTGAGTAGCCCTCGCACCAGGGCAGTTAGCTTTGGGAGATGGGAGTTTGGGTTCTAATAGTGGGTCGCCGCCCCAAGTGGGGCCAGAAGGAACGCCAACGTCCTTTGCACCATCGCGCCCCGGAAGGGAGGGTGCTGACATGCTGCAGCGCATGCAGGCTTTAGAGCAAAGGGCCCCCCTACTGCACGGTAATGACCCGAAAGGCCTCAATCGCGAACAGATTCATCATCTGGTTGCCAGGCAGTTGGCAGGGTTTGATCAAAGGGCTCAGGCCCAGGACCTTGAGATCCAGCGTTTAAGGAGGCAACTAGAGCAGGAGAAGGCCATGAGGGAGCAGTTGGCTAGGGAGGCGGCAGCTTCAAGCAGTGCCCCGCAAGCCCCCACACCATCACAAATGCACCATTCCTCTCAGGTGCCATCATCGCAAGATGCTCAGGTCCGCAGCAGCAGCCGCGTCAGGGTTTTGGTCCAACTTCTGGTCAGGGTTGCAGCAGCAACTAACCGGAGGGATCGGGCAGGCCTACGCAGCACAGGTGAATTTGGCCTGTTCTACCCCCAAACCCCCCTTCTCAGGCCAGATCTGGCCTCAAGGCTCAGGAATGCCACAGGTGCCACAGGTGCAAGGTGCACAGGTGCCCGCATCTCCAATCGGAGGGGAAGGACCCGCTGCCTATGCACAGGTGTGACAGGTTTCAGGGGTAGACAGGTGCCGCATGCACAGGTGTCAGGTGCCCAGGCCAGTGCAGCTCCAGGAGGAGCACCTGCAGCAAGTGCAACGCCGTGTGCAGCAGCTAACCCCACGATGGATGCCTTGTTTGCAGGAATGCAGCAGCTTCAAACCATGCAGGCGCAGGGCATGCGGGATAAGAGCGTTGTTAGCAACGCCCCTGAAGCCGTCAAGCCAAGCGCTACTGCACTTCCCATGCTGAAAGCTCCGGATTGGCGCGCGCCCTCAGGTGGCGGGTTCGCCAAGAACCTTGGCCAATGGCGATGGCAAGCGCAGACTGTGATTCAACCCTCAAGGTCTTACTCAAGTTAACGACCCCAAACTCACCCAGCATGGCCTCTGCAAGATTGCAGTGCAACGACAGCATCAAGTCCTGCGACAAGCTCGGACTCTGCAGCGCTGAGTGTGACGAACGCCTGCCTGGCCGAACGCCAGCAGACAGGCGATCCGTGCAAGAAGACTACCCAGCCGGTGTGCGAGCGATTACCGTCTGGCGCAAAGGAGGCATCACTATACGCCACAGCAAAGGCTTTGGTTTGCTGCACGTAGGCAAGTGCTCTTTCAGCTATGTGTGCAGCCCTTTCAGGCGCCTTTGTGCTAAACGTAGCGAGAACACAAGCAGTGAACGCGAGATCAGGCCTCGTAGGCTGGCTCAGCCACAAGATTTCTCCGGTCAGCCTCTGGGCTGCACGAACTGACTCCTCGGCATTCTGCGCTTCCCTTGAGCTGTCTTCACTTGCGAGCTCTAAGGGGCCCTCCTCGAACACGTCAAACACATCTAGGCGCCTTACCTCTTGCTGAGGCAGGGAGCGGAAAGCCTAAGGACTCAAGGGCTTGAAGCTCAGACTCTGGGACTTTCCCTATATATTATAAGGTGTTTACAGTGTATGCTACGAGCACAACCCTTTCACCTTCAAAAGGAGTGGTTGCATGACGGCGTTTGGGGTCAAGGTAGAAGGGCTTGCCTCTTTGCAGGCTGTGCGTCGTGCCCAACCACTTCTTTGCTGCACCGTCGAGGGAGTCTGAGCGGAAGGACTACGTTAACAGACCCTTCTAGATTGTTATGGTCTGCATGCAGGGACATGGGGTTAGTGTTTGAGAGCCAAAGACTACTGGGCCAAGGGCGGGAGTTTGTAGCGCTTGTGGTGCCTACTACACCACCATGTCGGTAAAGGCCGACCTTAAGGAGAACTCCCGACTCCTATCCGAGTGGAAACGCAACACAGGAAGGTTCAACGAGCGCAGTTCCAGGAACATGTGTGCAGTGTTGGAGGGGGTAGCTTATGGCGAGGGAACCAAATGTGTTTTGGAAGAAAACCTGCAGGTTCCTGTTCAGGCTGTGGTCTACTGCGATAATGCTGCTACTGTTGCTTGAGTCACAGGAAGCTCCAACCTTTGGCGGACCCGAGGGTTAAAGATCAAGGCTGCAGCACTCCAGGAGCGGTGACAATGCGATATTTGGCAGATGAATCACCTAGATGGTGTCTACATGACCGGCAGATTCGGGCACAAAACGCGAGTAGAGTGGACGAGCTGAGGAAACTGATCAACATGGGAGGGCCAGAAGTTTATCAACCACAAGTCAGCAGGCTACAAGTGAAGAACATGCTGAAGAGATTTTGGTTTGTTTGGCCATGTTGAGGACCGTGGATGGTGTAAAAATGGAGCAAGCGATGACAATGGACGAGATGGCGACCGTTGATGCTGCGCTTCGGGCAATCGGCGCTTTGGATGGGCCTGGCTGCAATGGTGCTCAGTGTTCTTTTCCTATGGGAAACAGCATGGTTTTTGGCTGGATATAAGAGGATTAAGTTGCGATCTCTCGAAGACCCATCCTCCCTACCATCGTCATCAACGCCTACATCCACTGGGATGTCGTCGACCTCCACTGCTTCTTCTTCAACTCATGTGCCTCCTCGTAAGGCGCCTCCTGTCCGACCACCACCCCTGGCCGAACCAGCAGGATCTGATGATTATTGGATTGAGCGTGGTGCATGGAATGTGAGGGTGCATCGACAACCAAGAATCCAACTGTTTGACCCCAGCGATGCAGCCAGACCTTTTGGGTTGGATGAGCTGACTGGTGACCGAGTCACCTATGTCACCTTTCAAAATGATGGCGAAACCCAAATCCTCCGCGATATCTTTCACTACAAGGTGGATGCCAAGCGACGTTTGGATCGCACTTGGAAGGGAGTTACGGAGTTTGTCATTCGTGGGCAATGGCTGGGCAAATGGTGCAACATTCTTTTTACTGGCGATTTCAATGGAGGCTTTTGGCCAGGTGCCTCGCCCGAAGGTCAATGGAGGCTTTTGACCAGGTGCCTCAACCAAAGGTCAGCCCGAAAACGGCTAGGGAACACATTATCAAGCCCCCGCCCCCGCCCCCCGCACCCCACCACACCCCGCTGTTGTTAGGGAGCACGTGGAACACGCTATTATCAAGCCCCCCCCCCACCCCCCCACCCACCCCACCACACCCCCAGCACACCCCGGTGTTGTCGGGGAGCAGGTCCTTTCCACGCCTGTTGCTGAGCAGCACCCCCCGCTCACTTGTAACTATTGCATCTATTTCCTCAAAATCTAGACTCACTTGTGACTACAAAATTTTCACAAGTGAGCCACCCCCCAAAAAAATAGACGCAAGTGAGTTTTTTGACCACTCTCGAGCGGGAGCTGCGTTTTTCGAATCTATAGTCGTAGGTAAGTGAGCTTAAAAAAGTCAGAAGTGAGAAGATTTTATAGTCACAAGTGATCAAAAAACTTACAAGTGAGAAGATTCAATCGTCACAAGTGAGGGGTTGGCCAATCTTTTGTCGGGAAGCGCTGGTGTGCCCTTCGCAAAGTTTGGGTCCAAGCCCCGATGTTACACCAGTAGAAGAAGCTAGCAAAGTTTAGCATCAAGGGGCCTGCCAGACTGTCACATGTGGAGGTGTTTCGGAGAGAGAAACAACATCTTGTTCGCTACGTAGGTTTATGTTGGTATCCTCACGCCAGCAGCAACAGCGTGCAGGCAGGGAGATGTTGAATTCTGCGGTTGTGGCAATTAAGTGACAGTTGAGAACAAGTTGTGCAAAAACAATTCGACTCCTTGCGCACATTCTCTCCGCTATTCGTGGATGTGGATGTGGATGGTCAGTGAGATGGTCAGTGAGTTAGCGTAGGATATCAGAGGATCAGAGGGCATCAAGGATCAGAGGCCAGATACAGAGTGCCGGCGAGAGCATCCGTATGGCAAAGACGGAGAGAGGACTAGAGAGGGGTTGCGACACAGAAAGGGAGCGAGAGAGAGAGAGAGAGACAGAGAAGGAAAAAAAAACAAAGAAGACTGGGAAGGTAAACGAAGCGCAGCTGTGTTTCTGTTGAATGTGCCGAGGGCTCTTGCGCCTCTCCGCTCTCTCGCACACGGCAGGCAACCATGGGCTTGGAGACCAGCTGCTTGGTGCAGCCAGGCGAAGCCTCTCCGCAGACAAACGCCGAACCTGAGAGAGCAAGAACAGAGAGAAGTGAGGGAGAGAGAGAGAGAGAGAGAGCTGAGAGAGAGCTGAGCGAGAGAGGGAGAGACATGTGAGGTGCGCCGAGGCACCAGATCGGCGGCTACACGTCCACAGGTTCTGCTTTCTTCGGCTCTCGTGTGCTCTTAGTTTGCTTCGGCATCTTGCTCGAGTCTTGGGTGTCAGAGGTTGCTTTGTGCCGGGCAACAGCTGCATGGGCCCGGGCAGTGCTACGACCTCAGAAGTGCCTGTCACAGAAATTGTGATACAAAAGATGTGAGATGAAAGCCTGAGTCGCTTGGTGCTTGATGTTCGCGGAGGCTTGCATGAATCGCCAAGATGCCCGGAATGTCAAGAACGGCGAGGCCCATCCCCACATTCGCTTTTCAAGTCCACACACTCGAGGGGCTCTTTCGCTCTCCCAGTTCTCCAAGTTCTCGCAGTTCTCCCACAAGTCTTTCCGAGGCACGGTCAAGTGCTCGCGGTCATGGTCCACTCCTCGAGGTTGGAAAGCACGTGAGCATCTGCTGCCATGTTCCCGAGTTGCCCTGAGCTCCCGTGTTCTCCCTGAGAACTGAAAACTGCATTCCATTGCATTCCCTTTTTTTTCCCCTCCTTTTGGGGGGCCACGATTCTCTTTTGCGACTCGTGGGATGGATTCGCCTCAGTCGCTGACGCTGCGGCCATTACCGACGGGAAGTCCGTTTTGTGGACCTGACCGCGGCGTGACCCTCGAGGCCTGACAGTCGCTTGTGACACTTATTGAGTGAAGACCAAAATAGACAAGCACGCCTCTTGAAAGTCTCAGCCCTTGTGTGTGCGTGGCATTTCGCACTAAATTGAAAGGTCCTGCCCTGCTCTTGCCCAGGCAAAGTATGCATCGTCTGAAGAGGCATGCAAAGCTGCGAAAAAGTCTGCAGTGTCTGGCGATGCCCAGCAGGTGCCCGCGGCCATTTGTGTGTGATCTTTTTTATTGTTTTTATTGTGCAATCACAGTGCAGTTGGCGCAGGCTCTGGTCGCATACTCGCATGCTTTGGAGATGGATGAGGTCCTTGTGCTAGGCTTAAATGCCCATGAGTGTTCCTTAGTTCTCGATGCTTGACCAGAACAACCCCAGTGTCTGCGATGACTTCGGGCAATTCCTCTTGGCACACGGACAAGACGCTTGTCTGGAAAATGCAGCCTGAATAGTCTGTGTGTGGATTGTCTGTGACCAAGTTGGCTGGTGCGGAATACCTCTTCACCCGGGCCAGGGCCCTTGCTCTCCCCAACCTTGCGGGCCTTGCAGCTCGCATTCTTGAAGTCTTGTTTCCCACCTTGCACACCAGCCAGCACCCAGTTTTTGTTTGGATGAATGGAGGCTGTGTCTCTGGATCCACAGAACGCCCAGTGCGCTCACGCCGGCGCTCACGCCTGCGCTCACGCCCGCATCCTTGCAGGGTCTCTGAGTGCTGTGCTGGAAGGTACTGCTACCGCAAAGGAGTGGTGCTGCAGCAGCAGAGGCCGATAGGATCTCGAAGTTTACAGTGTTGATCTGCAGCATGTGTAGCATGTGTAGCATGTGTAGCATGTGTAGCATGTACATCAATGGCCAGGCAACTGAAGCAAGCCGTAGAGGCTTTCACTGCAGCCTTGTCCTTGAAACCTCAGCAGGAGCCCCGACAAGAAAGAAAGCCGAAGCGCCATATGAAGCTCCATATGAAGCTCTCCAGCTTCAAGGATTTCTTTGCGGCTTCGCCTCTCTTTGCCGAGGTTTGTGGGGGCCTTGTTCAACCTGGGGGTGGTGCACCGTGAAATGGGCCCGGCCGGCACGCTTTAGAGCCTTTTGTAGAGCCTTTGGAACCTGGCCTGCCTTGGCCCAGAAGAGCCTTTGCCTTGTCGGAGTGCTTTACGGAGACCTAGAGAGCCCGAGAGCACGCAGGAACCAAGCTGTGGGGCTTATGGGTTGGTTGCGCATTGGCAGGACAGGTAGCAGTGGCCGCTGAGCAGTTCAAGAGGCATGTGAAGAGAGTTGCATCCTGCTGTGATCTGCTGTGATCTCGATCGGGCTGAGAGGCTACTACAACTCAACTCTGAGGACCACGTGAGAGTTCGATGGAGTTGCAACGTCTCTGCAAGTTTTTTGCTGGCATCAAATCTTGAATAGCAACTTCTCTTCAAGTGTCTTTGCTGGAGCCAGATCTTGAGTTGCTCTTCGAATCTTGAGTTGCAACTTCTCTTCAAGTGTCTTTGGGTCTGCTGACCACAGATCTTGAGTTGCGCTTCGCTGACACCAAATCTTGAGTCTTTGCTGGCACCAAATCTTGAGTTGCAAACTTCTCTTCAAGTGTCTTCCCTGGTGCCAGATCTTGAGTTGCTCCAGATCTTGAGTTGCTCTTCGCTGGCACCAAATGTTGAGTTGCTCTCTTGTTTTCGTGACTGTGCTGGCGCCAGATCTTGAGTTGCTCTTCGCTGGCACCATATCTTGAGTTGCTCTTCGCTGGCGCCAAATCTTGAGTTGCAACTTCTCTTCAAGTGTCTTTCCTGGCGCCAGATCTTGAGTTGCTCCAGGTCTTGAGTTGCTCTTCGCTGGCACCAAATGTTGAGTTGCTCTCTTGTTTTCGTGACTGTGCTGGCGCCAGATCTTGAGTTGCTCTTCGCTGGCACCATATCTTGAGTTGCTCTTCGCTGGCGCCAAATCTTGAGTTGCAACTTCTCTTCAAGTGTCTTTCCTGGCGCCAGATCTTGAGTTGCTCCAGGTCTTGAGTTGCTCTTCGCTGGCACCAAATGTTGAGTTGCTCTCTTGTCTTCGTGACTGTGCTGGCGCCAGATCTTGAGTTGCTCTTCGCTGGCACCATATCTTGAGCTGCTCTTCGCTGGCACCAAATCTTGAGTTGAAGCTTCTCTTCAAGTGTCTTTCCTGGCGCCAGATTTTGAGTTGCTCCAGATCTTGAGTTGCTCTTCGCTGGCACCAAATCTTGAGTTGCAACTTCTCTTCAAGTGTCTTTCCTGGCGCCAGGTCTTGAGTTGCTCGAGTTGCAACTTCTCTTCATTTCTCTGATTGTGCTGGGTGGGTGGTGGCTGTGCAGACTTGGCACACTTGCAGGACCCTTGTGCCCTGGCTATGCTCGGTGAGTGTGGGCCTCGGGCCCTGCGCCGAAACATCTCCAAAGCATCGCTCAATCTTCGCTTAGAGCTTTGCGAAAAACTTCGCTTAACAATTTGTTCACATCTGTTTTTGGCTTCTTTGAGGTGTCAGGCGGAGATGGGGGACTTGGAGAACGCCATAAGGTGCGTTGTGACGTCGTGACCGGAAGCCTGAAGCTTGTGTGGATATGAGTGCATGCTTTTGCCACAGGGTGAAGGAATGTGACGGATGTTGCATGACGTTGGCTGCAGACGGTTCACTAGGTCAACAACTGCTGTGGGACAAATCGCCATCACTGAAGTCTGTGTCACGGAACCGGAGTGCACAGGAAACCAAGGAAACCAAGGAGGCCACACGTTGTGGCTTATCCGGCTTATCGGGCTTATCCCGCTCATCCGGCTTCTCCCCCTCTTGCAGGTCACTCGAGGGAGCTGTGCGCTTGGATCCTGAGAACCGCTCCGCAGTGAAGGCTTGGGACCATGCTTTTGTGCCAGCGCCGGCGAAGTGGTAACGAAGTCCTAGCGAAGTGTCAACGATCTTCATTAGGTGTCCAGTCATCGCTGAAATGTTTGTGTCTTGTTGTTGATCGTCTCACCCTCATGTTGAATTGCACTGAGGATCTCATGCGCCTCCGTCAGCAGGTCGGACGCGTGTGAGGCAGTCGATGGGAGTAGCAAAATCGTGATGTGACAAGAGAGGCCGGCTTTAGCAAATCAGGATGAGAAAGGCGTTTTTTGTCTCCATTTCCTACACTGACACTCGGAATGCTTACCGAAGGGGGCTGTCGCCAAGGATTTATTTATGCCATAACCCGACAAGGAAAGCCCTTATATCCGAAAGAACTACCCACATAAATCCTAAAAAACTAAGCGGATGACCCAAATCTTGTCGCTAAATCCTAAAGAGCGGGATCCGTCTTGTTCCTTGAATCGTCTTCACTTGATCAGAATTCCCAAGCCCTATTGCGTGTCATTAAATCAAATTGGCCAAGCCTTGAAGCGGAGTGATCGCAAACGTTAATCCCAGGGAGGGCCCCTCAATCCCAAAACAGGTTCCCTAAAGCTCGTCACTGAATCCTAAAGAGCGGGATCTTTGAGTCTTATTCCCTTAATTTCATTCCCTTTCATCTCCAACACAAGATGTACAACCGGCTCCTACTTCTGAGGGTGGCGCAAAAAGGTTTCATTCCTTTAATCCTATTGTAAACGCTTGCGCGCGCCGCCTCGGCAGCCGGGCCGGCCCCAGGACAGGAAAGGGGGGTGGGGGGGTGGGGGGGAACCCTAAATCCGAAAAAACAGGGCCAATTTCCTAACTCTTTTCGCTAAGCCCGAAAGAGCGGGACCTACATCGTATTCCCTTAATCAGCCAGAAGGCTGGCCCTTATTCCCCAAATGCCTTTCAATTTCGCTAAATCCTGGGGCGGGATTCCTGAATCGAAGTCCCGTTCCCGAAGCCCTAAACCTTAGCCCTAAAGAGGGGGGCCCTTAATTCCCAAAGAGAAAAGCCCCTAAAAGAGCCTTAAATTCTTATACTTTCACTCTATTCCGTAAATCTTGTCGCTATATCCTAAAGAGCGGGGTCCCTATTTCGAACAACCGGGGATATGAAAGGGATTGAAGGACAGCTGTTGGGAAAACTTATGGCCTAATGAGCCTCGGTGCTTTTAAACGAATTATGTGTTTAAAAGGCCATTGGCTTCTGTATTCTACTTGTGTTAATGTGTGTGGTTTCAAATAAAGCGGCCGGCTGATAGTTTGAGTACTTTGTTTAGCACATTTAAATCACCTCCAAGAAAAATTCGAGTTCGTGAAGCGGTTCGCAAGAAAAAGGGGAACCAGCATAATGATCAAAAATGTTAATCCCAAAAGTTCTGCCCGTTTAGTTTTTTGTGCAAATACTGCTAATGCTGCTTAAGTTAGGGGCCATTTATTATTAATTACGCGGCGCTTTTTTTAACGAGAAATAGGACCAAAGTACCATGGATTCTAGCACCTGATTGTAACAAATAAGTTGAAGCAAATTCTAAATCACCCTTTGAGCCATGAGTTTTCTTCACATAGCTGACCCCTCCTGGTACTGTAGATGTGTGTCCGCTGCAACCTAGAATAGCAAAGCGGAAAAGGATCTTGTGCGTAACAACACAATACTTTCAGATTATTTTGCTAGGGCCATTCACAAAGAGTATGTTCAAAGGTTATATGCGACCTAGATCAGCGATATCCAAAAGAAAATCTGGTGCGTAACAACACAAAACTTTAGGAATATTTAAGCTCGGGCCGTTCACGGAGAGTATTTTCAGAGGTTCGAAGCCGAAAACGGTGGATCAAACGTCCTGCCCAGCTGGGACTGGTCCCTGAAGTGCCAGTCAACAACAACCAGAACAGCAATTGCGAATTAGCAGGATCAACACACACTACCCTGGACCATGCGGGCAGCTGTGTTTTTCTCTCTCTACGTCATGCGCGGTCGCAGCCGCGGGTCGCAGCGAGCAGGGTAACCCACACACGACTCTCCAAGAAGAGAAGCAGGCAATAAATGATAGCAATGTGACAATGAGAGAACATGTTGGTACATAAAATTGGGCTTAGGAAGAGATTGCGCTCCCTGACGACAGAAATCTGAAAGGACCCTCGGGCTTCGACTAGGGCCTTACTGCACCCTCCTGACCGCAGCAAAGTGCAGATTTTTCCCTTGTCGCATGCTCTTGTCTCCTGGACATGATCCCATGTCTCAACTCACACGCAACAGGTCTTTCGGGTCGTGAGGCTCAGGCACGCGATGTCATGTGCAGTCATTCGTTGCGCTGCTGTTGATCGCAGCTCTTGGCCAGATCCGTCCATGCCACAGCGGATCCTGACAGCGATATCTTCTGTTACATCTTCGTGACTTCGTGGCCTGAATAATGACGCAATGAGCTCGTCTCACGGTGTGGCATCTCCCATGCCTTCAGCGAATTCAGCATGAGAGCGCGGATAATGTTCTTGGATGTTCTTGGAGCACAGAGCTGGAAAGTTGTGAAGTTGTGGAGTCGCTCGCAAAGCAGAGAGCTCCTCAAGATTTCTCGAGAGACATGGTGACATGCTTCTCTTGCGCTTCAACAGAAACCAACAAAAGACAAAGAAACGAAGGCTCGGTGGCTGCATTGTGTCTACGAAGCTGCCGAAAGGAACATTGCTCAGGGCCACTGACTTTGGTCGCGGCAAGAGCTCAAGTTGTGGATCGTGGTCTCTGCTGTGGCTGTTGGCTCAAGAGGCGCCCGTGACAGGCAAGAGGCCAAACATGAGCCTCGACCTCAAAGGAGTGCTCATGCTTCAGGAACATTATGGAACATTCACCATGTCGAGAGGTTTTGGGAACTGTACTGAGGTTCTTCCTTTGTCCGAGCCGTGGCACTGGCATCGCTGACGGCGCTGATATTGGGTGCACCAGATGTCACGCCCGAAGGGTCCGACGAAGGACTTTCTGTACAACATCTTACATGGAAGAACATACAAGACTGTCATTTCTCTAAACCCATTTTCGGACCAGTACATGCTCACCTTCTTGCATTCTTTCGATTTCGCAGGAGACGAGTGCCAGGATCTGGATGCTTTCGCATGTTGTGACATGTTATGGCAGCTATGGTTGCAGACTGCGTTGCCAAAGATGAGCAGCAGTAGGATCGCGACGATCGCTGGTCGGCCTACGGGACATCCTGCGAGCGCATGAGGGTCATGTGCGAAGCCGGGCTCAAGTTGAGCTGTTGAGGGCCCAGTTGAGGGGAGAGAATGGAACAGACAATGGACAGAGGAGAACGAACATGAACGCGAAACTCCAAAACAAGCGCGTGTTCTGAGATGCTTCTTCGAGAGTGTAATGTGTTGCTGAGGATGACGACTTTTACGGACTGGGCCTCGGGTTGCATGTAGGCACTTCAATGCACTTCACAAGAATTCAAGATGCAAGCAGACTTCAAGACAATGCTCGGAGGCCATGAGGCCTTCGCTGAGGTGAGCTGGTGCGGGGCTGGTGCCCTGTGA